TCATCTGTAAGCTGATAATACTTATCGAATACAGCCCAAGAAGCTGCAACGCAGCTCCGTAGTGTGGCGTTGCCAGAGTGTTTCTGGAATGCTTGTGTATAATGTTTGTGAAGAACATCCATTGTAAAAAGTGAACGGTCTAGAGTGGCATAACGACCCTCTGTAAGCTAAGTGATCTTCCAGAACGGTTAAAGGAATGCACGCATCTCCCCTACAGCACTTCACTTATCAGGCGTGAGGTAGTCATCTCGCAAATCCTGGTAATACTTCTTCTAGTACCACTCAACATAGCTCTGAAGATTAAGAGTGGTATCTAGCAGGAGAAACCATAAGTTCCACCGTGTATCGTTGTCGAGCCCCAGAGATCTTCCAGCGCACTTCTTGAATTCATTCCATTAATAGTCGCTTTTACGCATATAAATCGATATGTTGTGCACCTTTCCAAGAGGCCCAAGCCGCCGCCATCCTTGCGCCCTTTGTGGTTTGATCCTTTCAGAAAAATCAGTGCCAAAAGCCGATTCATCGGTGTCTTCGATATGCTCCAAGGCCGCTCGAGCAGCCTCTTTTGAGTCTATAAAAAGGAAAGCCTAAACTGCCAGGTTCACTATATGGCCGTGGCACCGGATTCTACGGGTCTTGGCTTCCCAGTCGACGCCCTTCTCCTGGAGATAATTGGCAAGTAAGCAGCATAATTTTTCATTTAATCCATAGTTATCACCAGTATAGAATCCCACCTTATTCCAGATATTATAATCCTCGAGCACGTGCTAAAGAAGCTTCCATTGTTCGGCACCACCGTGACTACCCGGCCCGTCAAGACCTGGCAACTCCGACAAAGCTAATAGTGCCTACAGCGCTTCCTTTGCATCCGGATCTACAAATTTAACGCATATCCCAAGGAAAGCTTTGTGATTTAGAGCAGACCACACGTCAGCAGAGAGATGAAGTTTCCATGGTATAGACTGCAATTTTCTTCGCAACATGTCTTTATATACACGAAAGGAATTGGAGACAAGCTTCTATATGGAGCCGTGAGAAAGGCTGATAAGGTCATCTGCCGCAGGATTAACTGCAGAAATAAGCGCATGAAGCTCTGGCCAAGAACTGCAGTTGTAAGAGAGATTACAGACAGTCACGAGCTAAATAAGTGCCTCCAACGCTGCTCTGTGATTAATGGCATATCTCAGAGTTTCTTCTCGTTTTGCCAGTTGCTTTGCAGCATGAACCTCGCCGGCTTTGGCGAAAGCATCCTGAATAAGACGGTCACGCCGTTTTTTAATCAGATGTTCATGGGCTTCCAGCTCAATGCCGTGTATCTTGAGCAGATGATTCCGAAAGGTCGTTGAAACGGTCGTAGAGTAAGTCGGACTTACACAATGCATATAGTAGTAAATCTTCTCATTTTTGCAACCGCAACGAGATGGCTCCGAATTAAGGGGCTCACGGGCATAAGCCCAAGTATTTGCAGTCATTTTACGCTTTCAAGCCATGCGCTCTTAGACATCGCCGCTTAAGAATCGAGGGTTCATGCTGAAGATTAAGGAAGAGCATAATTCGCTTATGGACACTGGAATCCCCGCAGGGTCAGTGGAAGTAGACGTCATCAGCGAGGACATACGCAGCGTCCTTACACAGTGGTGTTAGAATTAAAGAAAGAGTAGAGAGTTGGAAAATCGCCCCTGAACGGGATTACTACAGGGATCAAATTTTTTCCGCCGTATTGCCATACTTATGGAATACGACATCCCCGTATGGAATATGGATTAACGCGTATGGATTATTCCATATGGATTAATTAATCCATACGCGTATGGATAGAAAGCCTGCCTTGGATGTCTTTGCCATTCCGGCTATGGCAACCGACTGCGAGAGGCAGTTCAGCCTAGCCAAGCTGACACTAACATCGCAAAGGCTCGCAATGGGCGCCGACACGCTGGAGCGAGTTCATTGTCTCGGGAACTGGGTCCGACACGGCGGGGTAAAGCTGGGCAGTTGGGTCGGTAATTGAGGCTTTGGATACGGCGTAATACCTTCACATACCCAATATATAGGCCTCCCATACAATTGATTGAGACGAGCCAATCAAATCAAACAAATCAACTTTGGACCGAAGGCCCATCAAACAAATCAACTTTTACCTCAAAGTTGATTTGATTGATTTATGATGAGCGCTGCTTGACGGTACGCCTCTCAATCGGTCAGAGAGGGTGGTTGGAGGCATGCTATTCTTCTGGGCGGCCTAGTTCTGCGAGACCATTATCTGTGACGTCTAGAATAGCATCTATAACGTTGCTCTCGGTATAGGACACTCGAGGCATTTTCGAAGTGAGAAAAGCAGGCTAGTGTAGGAAGAGATCTAATGAAGCGTCAGGGAGGCTTGGTGATAAGGGAAGTATTTTGAGACAATTTAGATTGGTGCCAGGCGATTTTACCGCACGCGCTATTAAAAAGTCAGTTTAATAATACCAAGCCTGATGCAATTCTCAATCTAACGTACATTCTTTTAGGTCAACAAGTCTAGTTTGGGTAAGCACCATGTAAGTGAAAATAAGCATTTTTTAGGGAGATTTCTTTTTAGCTATACGATTGGTAGGTACATGCGGCAAGTGGGTACTGCATGGTTCCGACATTCATTCAAGTACGGCGCGCCAGAGGTCGCGTTTTTATACCTAGAACAAGACAAGTTAATTAACCACAGATGCATCGGCGGCACGATCCAGCATTGGTGAATACACCGAACCGTATAGTAGGGGTTGCGCAAATATTGTTATTCTTAAATAGAGCTTTCAAGTTAAGTATGTTGAATACTGCCTCTAGGCTGATAGTGTGAATGAATGGCTGTGAATAGAAATAGGGAGCGTAGTGTTTGGAGGGCTTTGGATCGCGACTTAGTGGGGGCTGGTATATCCAACCGCCCAAGTTGCACGATCCGTGCTAGTGATAGTCAACTTGCCCCCCGGGCAGCCAATGCATGACCACGAGTGTCCACTTCCCCGAGAGCTGAAGCCCTCTCCACTCTGATAAGCACCACTAAAGTCGAAGTATCCATTGAGACTGCCCGCCATCTGGGCGAAAGAATCATATGTCCCAGGCGATTTAGGCGATTCGGGGTACCAGACTCCCTCCCACTCCGTATGTCTCCCTTGATCATGTCTTTCCTTCACCTCAATTCGGGGCCCACAGACAGGGAAAGTAGCCCGACGGTCGCGAAAGTTGACCGCCTGGAAAGTGGTGCACTCCCAGTGCTCTGGGCAATTTCTGGACGTTCGCCTCCCGGACCCTGGGATATCCGGATTCCCACAATTTATATCCCTCGTCCGGCCGCGACATATCCCACTAACCGCTCGCCAGCCTGTGCCATATTTTTCAACACACAGACCATGAAGCGCCTGGAGCATATCATTGGTGACCTGATCGTTTTGAGTCTCCCCGCCGACAGGCTCACGCTTTCCGAGATTGAAAACGCGACCACGCCTCGATAGGCTGCTGCTCGTCTCGGTCTGAACACTATCGTACGTCTCGTTTGAAGGAAGGCTGCTCATAGTGTCATCCCAGGGCAAATCACTGTTATCTGGGACACTCCCAGAAGATGCTGCCACCTTATCCAGATATTCATCATAGGTTAAGTTGAAAAATACCTGGGGTTCCTGAACTGCAGCCTCTTGAGCATAAGCCGCCGACCCAAGGATTGAGAGGATGCCGAGGAGTACTATGCCATAAGGCGCCATTTTGTTAATGGCTTGAAACCTGGAGGGATGGTTTTGAAGTATAAGGATGCGTAAGAGCAAATCCGGTTATTTTCTTGTCTTGAAAGCTAGCAGGAGTTGAGGCTGCGATGGTAGTGATGGATGTTAATATCAGGCAGGCAGTTCCTTAGTATTTATATGTTTTTGTTTTTTACAAATAGAACTCTATTATCTAGTCGAACACCATATGTATTCAACTGCCGAGCCTAACTGACGAGCAAGCAAACAGGCGATAGATGTATGGAGCAGTTATTATGGTCTGACTTAAAGTCTCATTCAGGTGGCAACACGGAACTATAGCGAAACCATGTAGCTTTTACTGTTATAGCAAGAACTATATATGTTGTCTATAAATTCATTTCTAAGAATTAACTTTAGAGTAGTACGTGGCTCTGTCACCTGCATATGGTCGGCATCGCTCCACGAGTAATATAGTTTTATCTAGGTTCCGGGAGGAGAGAAAGATGCGCTGTCATAGCTCCTTGTATTAGAGGTCTATATAGAGTTCTATTATGTTATCCCCCTACCTCGCCCTATGCTGGGACTAGACCTTAACCTATCCTGGGTGGATAAATAGAAGGGGTCCACAGGTAACAGAGCCACACACTACTTCATAAAGAAACTCACTCAGCATTACAACTATAACCTTGATCTAACTAATAAGATCACGACTATATATATATATATATACAAACTATACTTATTAGCACTTTTATAGACTCTAGCTTACTAGCTATTAATAAAACTTCCCTGTATTAAATAAAGCCTGACACGTATTTGATTCTACCATTAGGAGATGTAACATATCGCACCGCTTAGCATCACGCCCTACATAATATGCCAACATAAACCAAGTACGGACTAGTGTATCCCTTGAGAACCCAACCGTCATAGGTGGTACCATATTTGTAGTTATGGGTCCACTGCAATCACTCTCAGAACGTCATAAAGTGCAAATATAGAAGGGCATGGGGAGTTATGCCTGTTAAAAAGTGGAATTATTAGTTGAAGCTAGGGTTAGCAACGGCTACATCTGAACCACACGAACTTTTGTTTTGTCAGTGGAGAAACATTCCCTACTAGTCGGTCTAGTCCTTAATACCCAGCTGCTAGGAACATCACTTGAGCTGTCAAAGCGGGAAACAGAGGCCTCCAATTAGCTCAAATTAACCCTCACAACCTACAGCTGGCTGCTCTACTAATAAAAGTTCGGAGGTTTAAGGTTCAGGTGTAGAATAAGGTTTTCTGGTGCATCAGTCCTGCCTATTGCCGCTTAGACCGCGACCTTTTAGGAAGCAAATGACCCCACTATTAGCCGCAGGATCCGGCTCTTACTTTATGCTCTACAGTACCTCACCAATCCACTCTGCAGGAGTGCAGGTCCAGCCAGCGCTGACCTCAATTCAAGTATCAAGTCAAGTATTTCAAGTAAGTCAAGTAAGTCAACAAACCAGTTTATTTCAAGTAAGCAAGTTCATAATACTTCAAACTTAATTTACTTAAAATACTAGATTTTATGGATTTTCCTATGCGACAGCCCTATAAGTTTCAAGGCTATTCGGAGTCCCAGGCATAGGGTAATCAATTAAGTATAATACCCCAGTTAATTACACTAATAGAACCCAGGAACGCGGCAGGGGTAGCGCGACTACGTGTTTTGCGTTTGCTTGCGTGCTAGAAACACCTGGTTTAGAATTAATATCGCTCCCTGATAAGAAGCATCTGTATTCCGCGATTCGCCGATAACCCGCTATAGCAGCATAACAACAGTCGTTAGAATCGCTTCTGGGAATTAGTGGCCATCGCAAATCACTCAAGCAGCAGCTTAATGCTGCATCTATTAAGACTAAAGCTGGAAGAATAACCCTTGCTGACCTCCTAACTATCTAGATCGGCTATAAGAAATATATACTAGAAGAATATATTGCCAATAAGAATTGCAAAGGTCGGAGGAGCTAGATCTAAGCCTATGGCTTCTTTCTTACAGAAGTTAGCCCTGATTTGTAGATATTGCAGACCTACTGGGTATGCTCGAAATGTGATAAACAAGGCAAGAGCTTATTATTTGTCGCCACAAATATAACATTGCTAATTAAGCATCTCCGAAGGTAAATGATATTTATATGAGCCTGATCTTTATTACTTCTCCATTATCTTACGAGATATAGGTCTTATATGATCACTGAGGCGGATAACAATGTGGATGCAGATTTGTATTTATCTTGCGCTGATATTTACCTACCCTCGAAGCGGCGTTACTTAGAGTCTCCTATTGTAAGATTGAATATTAATAAAGCAAAGGAGTTAATAGTCAGCTGGATTATTACTACTAATCTTCTATTTACAGCGCTATCGAATCTATATTTGCGCCGAATGCTCGATTTATACGATGTATTATTAGTAAAAGAGGTACCGTGGAGTCGGCAGTTAGTATATAATACTATGCAGAAATTATTCGAGGTAAAGAAGGGAGTAATATTAAGTTAATTGCAGAAGGCGGTTATAAGGATTAGCTTTAGCTTTGACCTATAGACTTCTCCAAACCGGTATGCTTTCCTTGGCCTCTACGCCCACTATCTCGTGTCAGACATTACGTGTATTCGGTTCATTGATGTGAATT